GCGCGAGATCGCATATCGTACCTGTTTCCGTTTCTGTACTGTATAAAATTCGTGTGAGATATTGAGCTCGTAGCATGCAGGAAAACAGTTTTTGGGGTCAGAAATGAGCATAGATCGTTTGTCGGGATGGCTGCTGTCGATGTTTGAAGAGCTGATGCATAAGGAATTGGGTGCCGGCAGAACAGGGATAAAAACTAGAATGGCAGGAATGATGGCAATGCGTGCAGTGTGATTATTAAGCCGAGCAAAGGAGCAAATTCGATTGCAGTTGTTTAAATTAGCAAAGAATAACGCTTTATCGTGGGTAAAAGGGCAACTGCTTGAGAAGTCCCGTAGATGGGTTAAAGTGAAAATTTAGACGATCAAAGGTATGTGAATCGTCAGTTTAAAAGTATACCGATTTAAATACGCTGTTGTCTAACAATGATTTGCAATGGAATTTGTATGTGCGCACAAAGAATAAGGGTATGAGCAGTTATACTTGACATACTATAGCCGAATGGGTACAAAATGTAATTGAGCATCCTCACTCGTGTGTCGCTTCCTTGGACCGATGTGAAACAATCCGGTTTGAATTAATCTAACGATATTCCACAGTAGCAGCGTTTATTAAATAAATGGAACAATGAAACAATATTTTATTACGGGTAGAAAAGCTTTGCTTAACAAGTCCCGTGGGATGGAAATTATTGCGAAAATCAATTGCATGATAAAGTGAAAACCGTTGTGGTGGACTCACTATAGACCTATGCGGAATAGCGGAGATGTTCGCGTATTAAACATATAAATCCATAAATCCATTGGTTAGGCATTTGGCAGGAAGTGAAACTGTGCACAGTAATTCGTGGTGTTACGTTGATGTCCGATCATAAGCAGACGTGTATCACCGACACCTATTTTGAATACTGCTAGCGCGGCTAAAGAAACAATCTAGGTAAGGAGGGCACTCCAAGGCTGACAAAAACAAAGTGAAAATAACTCCTGGCGGCATTTTAACCGGCTGTACTGTGTGACCTACTTTAGTTAGGGACCTGTCAAAATGGTATTGTGTTTTAGGTTTTGAATTTGACGGCAAGCTTGTTGGGACATTTCCGGATTTAAAAGTTAATTAACAAATCACCACACAGGCCTTGATGCTGTCCACTGTAGACCCGAAGGTTAATAGCCTCATTTAGTAAGGAAGATAAAAGAGTCACATTACATTTTTGATTGTCGTTTGCTTCAGAATTGCAAACGCGACAATATCGCGGTTATGCCAGGGCTGGCTAACGTGAATGAGGTATTCGGAATGAGGTCTTATATGGGTGTCGAGTATCTGAAAAAAATATGAGAAGATCAGAGGGCCCGAACGCCCTCAACAAATGACCAAGGTGTTGGTTAAAGTTTAAGGGTGCTTACTTGGCTTTAAGTGAACAGCCAACATCCGTTTGCACTATCACACGTAGATCGCATTCCGTAGAATCGATCTGAAATACTTAATCCCACAGCCTGTATTCGCATTTGTGATCGGTGTTGAAGCTTAGAGACGACACGAACAGTGTAGGAAGCGTTGCCCATCATCAGGATAGAAACATTTCCGAAGTAAACAGTTATCATTTGATGCCTGCATTCTAACAAACCAGATGGTTGCGGTGCCGATGGGAAACAAAGTTGGTTTATCACAGGAATTTACTCGGTGTACCCCCTTATACTCAGAGGTTATCTGTGCTGGTACAGCTGACTAATGGTTCCGTATAGCTCAAACCAGACTCTCCGTTAATATACATGTCGCGCACAATATGGTTATAGGTTAACAAATAGGATTAGTTTTTGTCTGGCTCCAACCCCCACCAACTGAATCAAGTTGGCTGCCTTACTATACGGATTATGCTGCGAACCTGCCGTCCATTTCAACTATGGTGGCACATCCTGCCCCATCATATGGTCAAGTCAGCTTCGGATGACCTCAAATCAAGTTAGATCCAGAGGACAGAGATTTAAGTAGATAACGATTTATATGGTTCAGAGCTAAATACAGTTAGACGGAACTACAACTAGGTAACGGTCACCCTAACTGGCTCCGTGCTTCGAGCTCAGTACGCTTAACCTGACACATGCTGTGCATTAGTTAAGGCCGAGTCGAAGCCGTCGCTGTAGAGCAAACCGTCTGAGACACCAGCGACAAATTATCTCAATCCGGTAATCACCAGGGAGAATCACGGTACCCTGATTATCGGATGAAACAGTGTTCCCGAGTTCAGGTCAAGTAGGATAATGGGTCAGCCGATGTAAGATGCACACGAGTGTAAATCAGTTTGTTAAGCAATCGAAGTTGCACTGAATCCACCATGTTAAAAGGCGCCACAACTCACCCCGAATCTGGGCATTACGGTCAGCACAGACTCCTTCGAGTAACGCAGTTTCTTCACGATTTGACAGAAGCCCTGTTACTGTCAGCGCGTTGGCTCTTAAAATCATTACGCACGCTGCGTATACTATAAATAAACCTTGGCAAATGGCTCAGCAGATATTGCAAACATGCCGGTGAGTTGAAAAACGACTGTAAGTAAAGCATTCCATTCACGAACTATACGCTTCTTTTGGAACCAGAACGTAGAAGCATGGTTGGGATCAGAATTGCTGCATCTACGAAACCGGCCGGTCGCCGATTGGACTTCGTGCCTGGTTAGCAACCATAAAATCACCAGTTCGAGTCCGCGTAGGGGTGGGTGTCCTCGCGCTATACTCAGCTGGCGGGCGACTGGTGGTGGTCGCGTGGCAGTAAAGCGCCTTACGACATACAGCTGGCGATTTATTATTTATCTTATTCTCACATATCGTCGTCATCAAGTCGATGAGTAGAATTCCGGGGTCACCGTGATAGAAGATAAGTCTAGCGATACGGTTACCTGTTCTTTTTGCAGACGCCCCACTTTCGATTACGTATTGTATTACAACTTCTCTCCCATGACACAAACGGACCGCCGTCCCATTTATTCACGGGGGACTGTGGTTCATACCCCATCAACACACGCGACTCCTCAAGCGTTCGCCTTTTGTCCGTGCTGACTCACTGTTCGTTGTACGTATTACATTGTCTTAAAAAGCAACGAGTGTCATAGTAAACCCATTACTGCACAGCTTAATAAGTAGCCGATCGCAGTCCCATGAAAGCAGGAAGGTTCATGCGCGGCAGTCATCGTGCCATTGAAGTTGCCGCGGTGAACTGGTTTACATGCAATTGAGCCATTTGATCAAGAGCACCTGTAACGTCGCGACTCAAGAAGCTGCTCGTTTCGTGTTCGTGACCCTGAGCACGCATTTTGTCGATAGCGCGCCATTATTTGCACGGAGAAGCGCCTGGTTAATTGAACGCAGGTACACCGATTACCGGCCATGATAGGACGCGAACAAATGGTTGCTTTTTTCGCCAGTAGGCTCCGTAAACTGGGAAAACTAGAGCATTAACCCTTTGTGTTATCTTGGCCTGTCTTCACCTTATCCCGTTGGTGGTAACCCAAGGCTTAAACAGTCTCAATCTCGCCACGCAGTCCTTCATCGCCAGAGTGACAAGGTAGACACTCTTGAGCCATATACATGCCCACAGTTAGCTCTACGCTTACACTCAATGTCCCATTGGTTGATGGCGCATGACCAACGACGCAGATACACAGCGGTGCTCGCGCGTAACCACGGCCGAAGCATGGGTGGACAGCCTGTGTTTAACAGGCAAATGAATTTGTTCAGTCCGTTAGATTTTAAATCCCTATTGTCTCTCCTCTACACAAGTTTAATGGTCACCCATATTGTTTTGCATAATACAAGACAACATGTCTTGCTTTTCACAAGCATTATGGACACCGACATAACATTCCAATTTGCTAATTTGGCTCACTACGATTGCTCAGACTCGTTACGCCTATTCACTAGTTTACACTACTACGATTACCTGATGTGTGAGTTGCCGATACTCCAACCAATGCTACGGCTCAGTTGCAAACTTTTAGTTGCATCAGCATGTAACAGATCACGTCCCTAATTCCTTTGTGTTCCCCAGCCCGAACTTCGTCCAGACATTCACACATTCTTTCGTGCACTTGCTCTATTGATTGTTCCTCAGCGCCACTCCATCCTTGGCATCCTTGTTCTCGGACACGTTCATTGTCTGGGTGAGTGTAGCCTAGACTCACCTCCTACCCACCCGCGTTCTGTGTTCGCTGTCCATTGGTTGACCGACTGACTATTGATCGCTTCGTTGTAATCCACTTCTGAATGACATCCAGTCTGCTTCGCCTTGGTTTAAAATAAATAAATAAATAAATAAAAGGTTTATTCTCGCATTTATTGAGGCACACCAAATCAGGCATGATTATCGGTTGTCCGCTGCGTTGTTTGGTTTCGCTTGACAGAAGGTTAGATTTGAGAATCGAATTGTTGTATAACTTTTGGTCTGGATATTGTATGAGGTTTGTTGCTATTTGCCGCCTAAGCATTTGTAAATTAGCTCGGTAGCTCACCTTCGGCTTTGAATTTTGCATTGACCTGGGATGTTAAGTTTGCTCAGTTTACACGACCGATTGGTTGGTAACACTGTGTGATTAACGGAAGAATTTGTTTGCACTACAGCCTAACTTGTGTGCACTACGGACTAACTTTCCTGAGAAACCGTGAACAGTATGCTTTGGATCTAGGCGTGTGTTTCAAGTTAACCGTCAGCCTTAGATTGGTGTGCACCAAATATAACTAAAGCAGTGTGGTCAGTTTGGGTCCCAGCGCTTCTTTAGTTGTATAGCGAATGTTTGCCTAGGCGTACCATAGACCAACCACTACTGAAATTAATCCAGGTATCCTTAACCCTGATTCTGATAAAATGCGAATGTGAACACTGATCGACATCCAACAAAAGTACCAGCGAGTGCTGAAGGTAACAACATATTGCATTCCGAACAACTTTTACGCCGCTTCGAACGATTTCAGTTGCACCTCTTCAATAACCTATGCCTTTCAACATCCCATTTCAGATTGCACCTTACATGTCAGTACTCCTAAATTGTACATATTGGGATGAACGAGTCGATCGAATTTTAACGAGGGAGAACGTAAAAAGGTTGAAAACTGTTCGTCCTTCCGTAGAAGGAAGTCCGCTGGACGGAGGTGAGCAAGTTTCTCTTAATGCCGAACTCGACCTTGTCTAGCCAAATGTGTGTTCCATTGTTTTAAACAAACATAAGCAGAATATCGAAATATGATGGAAACAACTGCTGGGTTGTGTCCCACTAATAGCCGGGATGGCCAACGAAATGAGCAAAACATTGAAAAAATTTGAAAACAAGTGTAGAGGTTGTTTAATAAGACGTACAAATTCAAACAAGACACAAATTCAGGAGCACCACTGAATTGTTGTACAATACCTTTCTGGTATTAAGTCTTTTTAGTGATATAGCCAATCCTGAAGCATTAGTCATGAATCAGCAAGAACTAGTACGATATGGACTTTCGATTATTCACTTCGGCGTTACTTGTTTCGACAGTGGATCCCTAGAGCAAACGTTTCTAAGCACTTAGTCTAAATGTTATTGCACCACGTTGAAACGCTTCTCGACATTGGAGTTCACACTCTTTCTCATGTGTGTTATCAAATTGTGAGGCTTGGAATGTAGAGAATATCCGAGACGTGTAACAGACTTGGTCAGTTTCAGCTTAGGTGAAACATTTGTCAACGAACGAAGTCGGTGAGTAATCGAGGGTTGGAATAGAAAGAGAACAAATGCACCCAAAGGTCCACCGAGTTAAGCACTGAGACCAGCAAGACAATGGTTTATGAAGAGGAAGAAAGCATCGGGGAGAATATAGATAAATCTATCCTCCCGCCCACTCTACATAAGTGGCCAACATGCTTGCTAACTCGTTGTGAAGCAGACTCAGACCACCTGGAACAACCGAGGTCATCCTGTACGAATATGCCGTCGCAAAGACGCCGAAGCTTAACGCGACGATTTGTGTACCTCATTGATCCATTGAGCTATACTGCGTGATGCCTCCAAGCATCTTGCGAGCTACTCCTACCAGGTTGGTCAGTGGTGAGAGGTCAGACAAACTCAGTCTCTTGGTCCACCAGGTTGAGGGTTTGAAATGGGATGGCGTCCATTTCTGTAAAACTAAATCATTGCCACCTCCATGCTGTCTTGCCGACAGACTTTTGAGCCAAAGGCTTTGGATGAGGACCCTAATCGTCCTCCTTTCTAGATCTGGGCGCCCTGTCAGTATCTCAGCCCATATAAAACCATGATTTTTAAAACATAAACTTCGTCCTGCATCGGCCGTCGCGCAGATTAGCAAGGGTCTCCTTATCTGCTACATACAGCAGGGCGAATAAGCGAAAACATGCTACTGCTGGCGCCTTCTTTCTTTTCCACCTGTTTCTTTTACTCCCATCCCGACCCCATTACTAACCTTCCTTCTATAATTCCCAGCATAATTGACAGTAACCGAAGTGCCCCTGGAGTAGAACCACATGCACCTACCATCCCAACGCACCTATCGGACGCCTTTTGGCAAAAGTCCCTTATAAGGCCACGCTATCCCGCTTACATAGCGACATTCAACGTTCACACTCTAAGAAAAAAGCTCAACTGGCTACACACGCACGCAACTTGGACACACTGAGTATTGATGTGTGTTGTGTCCGACACTAGGATCAATGACCCTAACGGGGTTATTGAATTACCTGCACCCTGCTTATCCTCTCGTTATTGATTGCACGCGTCCGCAGACGTCGATGCAGTACTCACGGGTCAAGCTGGTGTAGGTAACATACTAAACTCCAAGTCTGAGCCAGTGTAGGTTAATTAAATTCCAGTGAACAGCCGTTTATGTGCAGCCCGTTTGACGACATTAGCCAAGGTTGATTCACGAAGTAGTACAAAACGCTGTTTGTTTGTGCTTTCTGCTAATTCTTCCACCGACTGCAGTTCAAATGCTGTCAAGGACACATTCAATCGCGAATTGAACTCGCTACTACACAGTGCTACTAATTCAGATAGTATAGTACTTGCAGGGGATATGAACGCACAATTAGTGTGTCTGAGCTATTCAGAAGCTCAGCTGGTTGGTAAATGTGGGCTTAAATCCGAACGGACTGACAACGGTGAGCGTCTGCTGCAACTGTATGCGGAGCACCAGTTGTTTCTTGGAAGCACTGCTTTTAGACACAGTGGGCGCCGAAGTGTCAGTTGGCGTTCTCCTGTAGCTGACCAGCGATGGACCCAACTTGACCACATAGCCATAAGTTAAAGGTGGCGTGGTTCCATCCTGGATTGCCGCTCGTACTGGAATATCTGCGTCGACTTTTATCATGCCTTAGTATGTTGTCGTTTCTCCATGAACTTTACCGGGAGGCGCACCAAGCGTCTCCTCCGATTGGCAGCCTAGAAATTGTCTCAGCCCTCGGTCAGTCAATCCTATAAAGACGCACTGCGTATAGAACTTTCGCTGCCTTGTCCTACTGAACTGATCTTCAGTGGAATTGGATTTCGGCCGCCATGCACTACGCAGGAGCCTCTGATTGTGGCACTATCAATCACCAGTCACTGGATATCCGAGAGGTTGGTGAACCAGTTAGAAGCTAGAAGACACCTCTCGACTGGCTCGGAGCAAAATATGACCAGACGGGTTATTAGGCGTGAACTAAAGCAGTGCCTATGTGCTGACAAGGAAGCTGGGTGGACTAGTCGGTCTCAAGAAGTGGAGGAAACAGAAGCAGCAGGCAATTACCGCAAGCTCTTCCAGCTTATCCGCATCACTGGTCCAAGGAAACCAGGCGACAGTGAGACAATCAGAGACAGCGCGGGTGCACTGATACACAATAAGGAGCGCCGGATGGCTCGTTGCGCGCAACACTTGCAAGATCAGTTCAGCTGGCCCTCTGCTCCCGAACATCTTCCTACTCAGGTAATGTAGGACGAGCCATGGACGGTTAGTTTAGAGCCTCCGTCGGAGGCCGAAGTCCGAGGCACGATCACAGCCTTCAATCGTTTCTTGCCGCTGGTCCAGATTATCTCCAACCTGCACTATTTAAAGATGGAGGTGAGGTCCTCTGCAAAGCGCTGACCTCCCTATTCGAACGGATCTGGAAGGAAGGGAGTGCCCGGTTAATTGGAGCGAATCGATTATACTGGCAATATACAAGAAGGGCAGTCGCACAGACTGTTCTAACCAGAGGGATATTAACCGAACGCCAGTTACGACAAAATTATTGGCTTCGATTATCCTTCGTCGCCTCACTGCGGAACAGGAATCTCGGATTAGGGAATGGCAAGCCGGTTTGCGCCCAGGACGTCCCCGTATTGACCAAATGTTCACTCTGCGGTGGGTACTAGAGCCGCGCCTCGCACCCCGCAGATCGACAATAGCTGTGTTCGTCTATTTCAAGTGTGTTTGATTCCGTCGATCGATGGATTCTGTTCGAAATACTTGCGAGGAAAGATGATCCCACGAAATATGTGAACATCCTTCGTGGTTTATACTCGATTACTACAGGCCGCGTCAGGGTCTACTTTGAACTGTCGGATAGCTTTCCGACCACAAGTGGCGTTCGTCCGGGTTGCCCGATTTCTCCGTTTTTGTTCAATTTCGTTGTGGCTTCTATCATGGTGTGTTCCCTTACGGAATCTCACGATGTGGGGGTTGACGTGCTGCCTGATGAAAGGTTAGTTGATTTAGCTTATACGGACGATATCGTCTTGCTTTTCGACTATGTTGGGGTGGCAAAATCAACCCTGAATAGCCTGTCCAGAGTGGTCCCATTATTTGATATGCACTTCGCACCTACAAATTGAAAAGCATTGCTGCAGGAACACCAGCCATTTTATAACCCTTGACGCTTGCGAACGAAGAACTCCAGGTGTTTGATCATTTCACTTATCTTGGCAGCTTCATCAGCAATGATTGGCTCATATAAACTGACGTCAGCTCACGCATTGCAAAGGCCAGAACTGCCTTCTTGAACCTGCGGCAACTTTAGCGAAAGAAGGGAGTTTCCCACCGTCTGAAAGGGCTTGTATATAAGGCCACAGTGAAGGCCGTCCTGCTTTATAGTAGCGAAACATGCTATCTTTGATCTGAAGTTCTGGGGCGCCTTCAAGTCTTTGATCATTTTTGTCTGCGAAGCATTGCTGTTGTCGGATGGCTCCAGCGTGCTCGCAGCGATGATGTGCGTAGGCGAGTACTAGGTAGTAGTAATCATGCTAGCTCCGTAGAAATACAGATAGCACTGAATAAGTTGCTTTGGCTTCGGCACGTGCTACGTATGCCTGATCACCACTTACCTAGGAGGAGCTTGTTTAGTCTGCCAGGTGTAGGGTGGCGCAAGGCTCGAGGTGGACAGAATTTGACTTGGCAGCGGGAAATGAAGTCACTGATGACCAACCTAGGTGCCAATGGCCACGTGAGTCGCCTTGTGCTTAATTCGAGAATCTACAGGACATGACTCGCAGTAGACACCAGTGGCGCGTCTGCTGCCGTCTCCTAATTGGATTGCCTGTTGAAAATGTGTTTGGCGCTGAGTTATCTGCGGGATAATGGCTGATTGTGATGCGTGGCAGTGAAAGTCGCAAGGCAGCTGTCTCGCCGATGCCGGCTTATCTTTGCGCGATAGCCAGCTGTTGGCGACAGTATGTTGTTAACAAAAGTTGTAGTTGCCTAGACCCTGAATGTTTGCTTAGGGCGTTAGGGTTTTTAGGTAAATCCCCTTCTCTCCCTCTTCTAATTCTTTATTTCATATGTCATCATGGTTGCATGGCGGCTAAGCATTAGTTTAAATGACTGATATACTGCTGTTGATGATGATGACGATGATGATGATGATGCTGATGAAGATGATGTACGAGTACAGCGAGGTTGGGTTCCTGAGAAATGAGCTGTAGCTCGTGCTCCCCAAGTCTGTATCTATGGACGTGTCATTTGCGAATATGATAACCTCAGCATTTGTCCACTTTGAACCACAGTGCAATCCTCATCGACCGATTCTTTGCCTTAACAAGTTTCCACGGTTGGCACTCGTGGTCGTTGAATCCCTTGATCGATAACCAACTCTGAACATTCTTTGCGAAGAGTAGTAAACGGAATGATCCAACCCTACTGGATCGATAATGAAG